ATCCTGGTGGTTGAACATTGACCTATGACCCAGGAGGTCACAGTCAAGTCCCAGACAGGATACGTGCCCGGATTGCAGGCTTAATCCCTGGTAGGGGGGGGCATGCAGGAGGTGTCTGACCAATGATTCTCACTCATCATTGATCTTTCTATCTCCCTTCCTTTCTGAAATTAATAAAAATACACTTAAAAAAACACACAAAAGAAAACATATCCTTAGGTGAAGATTTAAAAAGCAACAACACAGGAGGACTTGAAAGGAGAGACAGTAATCAGCAGTGCACTTATAGTGGGGGCTTTAACACCCACTGACATCGATGAATAGGTCTTCCAGACAAAAATCAACAAGGAAACAGTGACCTTAAAGCACACACTAGATTAGATGGATGTAATTGACATTTACTGAACATTATATCCCAAAACTGCAGAACATTTTTCTTAAGTGCACATGGAACATTCTCAAAGATAGACATTTTAGGACTCAAAACAAGCATTTATAAGTTCAGGGAGGTAGAAATCATACAAGCATCTTCTTGGATCATAACAGTATGAAATTAAAAATCAACTACAGTAAAACAAGCAAACACAAAAAACATTCAGACACATGGCTGCTAGCTAAATAGCATGTTATTAATGAATGGACTAACAATAAGATCAAAGAAGAAATATAAAATTTCTGGAAACAAATGAAAACAAACCCAACATCTATAGGTCACAATGAAAGTAGTCCTGTGAAGGAAATTTATAGCATAACAGGTATACCTCAAGAAACAATAAACTCAAATGATCCCCTGCAACTAAAATAATTAGAACTAGAACAAAAGAAAATCCTAGAGGAAGATGAAATAAGGAAATAATAAAGATCAGAGAGGATATAAAAGACATACAGACTAAAAAATAAATACAAAAGATCAAGGAAACCAAGAGCTGGTTCCTAGGAAAGAGTAACAAGATTGATGAACCTGTAGCCAGACTCAACAAGAAAGAGAGGGCCCAAATAAATAAAATGAGAAATGAAAGGGGTGAAATAACAGCTGACACCATAAAAATACAAGAGAATTATGAGAAAATACTGTGAACATCTATATGCCAACAAACTACAACCTGGGCAAAATGGACAAGAACCTAGAAACACAATCTTCCAAAACTCAATCGGGGGGAATCAGGAAACCCGAATGGGCTGTTAGCAACTAATGAAATTGAAGCAGTGATTAAAAAAACAAACAAACAAACAAACAAGAAAAACTTCCAGAAAACAAAAGGCAAGTTTTATAATACCAAGCATTCAATTAAGAACTAACACCTATCCTCCCCAAACTATTACAAAAAAATTGAAGAGGAAATAACACTTCCAAGCTTATTTTACGAGGTCAGCATTATCTAATTCCAAGGCCAGATAAAGACACTACAAAGAAAGAGAATTACAGGCCAATATCCCTGATGAACATAGATGCTAAAATCCTCAACAAAATATTAGCAAATTGGATCCAGCAATACATTGAAATGATCATATACCATGACAATATGGGATTTATTCTGGGAATGCAAGGCTGGTACAATATCAGCAAATCAATAAATGTAATTCTTCACAAGCAAGATGAAAGATAAAAATCACATGGTCATATCAATAGATGCAGAAAAGGCATTCAACAAAGTCCAGTGCCCATTTTTGATAAAAACTCAGCAGAGTGGGAATAGAGGGATCATATCTCAACATAATAAAGGCCACATAAGACAAACCTGCTAACATCATACTCAATGGGCAAAAACTAAAACCATTTCCCATAAGAACAGGAACATGTCTGTTTTCACCACTTATTCAGCATAGTACTGGAAGTCAAAGAGGAAGAAAAAAAGTAAAAAGGCACCCAAATTAGGAAGGAGGAAGTAAAACTGACATTATTGGCAGATTATATTGTACTAGAGGCCTGGTGCACAAATTTGTGCATGGGTGGAGTCTGACCAGCCTGCCTCAATGGAGGCCGATCAGGGCCGGTTTGGGAGAAGGGGCCTGGGGAGGATGGCCACCCTGCCCTGCCCCCAATTGGGACGGGGGGGGGGGGGGACGCTGATTGGGGACAGAGCTAGCCAGGGGGAGGGGCCACAGGTTGTTGGGGCCAAATTGGGCTGGTTGGCTACTACAGTGTGTGTCATAGCAACCGGTCATTCCAGTTGCTTGGCTTTTATACATATGGATTGTGCATAGACAATCCGAAAGACTGCCGAACAACTAATATATTTAATAAATGAATTTGGCAGAGTTGTAGGAAACAAAATTAACATCCAGAAATCAATGGCATTTTCGTACACCAATAATGAACTCTCAGAAAGAGAAACTAAAAGAACAATCTCATTTACCATCTCAGGATTAAAAAAAAAGACTTGGAAATAAACTTAATCAAGGAGGTAAAAGACATATACTCAGAAAACTATGGGAAATAGAAGATAGAAATAGAGGAAGATGCTCTAGCTGGTTTGGCTCAGTGGATAGACTGGGTCCTGGGTTCGATTCCAGTCAAGGGCACTTACCTTGGTTGCAGGCTCCAGGCCCTGGTCGGGGCATGCAGGAGGCAACCAATCAATGTGTCTCTCTCACAGTGGTGTTTCTCTCTGTCTTTCCCTCTCTCTTCTACTCTCTCTAAAAATCGGTGGAAAAAATATCCTTGGATGAGAATTATAAATAAATAAATCCTATCTAATAATGAGGAATATGCAAATTGACCATCATATTGTAGCAAGATGGCTGTGCCCACAGCAGAGGCTGAATTCCCATAAGGATCCTTAATGAGCAATCAGCAGGGGCCTGAGGCTGCGTGGCACAGGCTGGGGCAGGGGGCCTGAGACTGCACACTGCCTCTGGGGCTTGACAGGGGACCTCAGGTTGCGCCCCCCGCCCAGCAGAGCTTGATGGGGGACCTCAGGGCATACCCCCCACCTGGCAGGCTTGATGGGGACTGAGAAAACGTCCCCTGCCCACGGGGCTTTATGAGGCCCACAGGTGCCCCTTTCCCTGGCCGGGCCGGAGGGCCTCAGGCCTCACACCCTGTCCTGTGCTGGCCCGGGGCCTGAGGCTGTGCCCCCCAATGTGCGTGGGGTCGGGTCTAGGTCTAGTCCAATGAAGTGGGGCCAGCTGAAAGTATGGAATTAAAAAGGACTCCAAATAGCCTTAGCAATTTAGAGAAAGAAGAACAAAGTTGGAGGGATCACAGTACTGGATATCAAACTATATTACAAGGCCATAGTAAAGCAGCCTGGCACTGGCACAAGAACAGCATATAGACCAATGGAACAGGACAGAGCGCCCAGAGACCAACCTGTGTCTTTATGTTCAGTTCATATTTGACAAAGGCGGCAAGAGCATACACTGGAGTAAAGACAGCCTCTTCAGTAAGTGGTGCTGGGAAAATTGGACAGGTACGTGCAAAAAAATAAAGCCATACCACCAACTTACACCATGCACGAGAATAAACTCTGAATGAACAAAAGATTAAATGTAAGCTGTGAAACCATAAAACATCTATAAGAAAATAGGCAGTAAATTGTCAGACATTTCATGTAGCAGAATTTTTACTGATACCTCTCCTTGGGCAAGAGAAACAAAAAAATAAACAAATGGGACTGTATCAAACTAAAAAGCTGCAGCAAAAGAAACCAGCCTCGCAGTGGGTTAGGGTTAGGGTTAGGGTTAGGGGTGCAGGGTTAGGGTTAGGGTTAGGGTGGGTAGACATATTTGCCAATGATCCGTCTCAGGGACTAATTTCCAAAATGTACGTATAAAGACTTACACAACTTAACAAAAGGAAGACAAACTATACAGTTAAAATGGCACAGGACCTGAACAGACTTTTCCAAAGAGGACATTTGGTGTGATTCCTGGACAGGCCACATGCTTGGTTTCAGCTTAGATCCCCAGTAGGAGTGTGCAAGAGGCAGCTGACTGATGATTCTCTCTCATCATTGATGTTTCTCTCTCTCTCCCTCTCCCTCACTGAAGTCAATAAAAACATACAAAAACATAGGCATAGAGGGCCCTTCAACGGAGAAACAAATTGGACAAAGCGAGGGATACAGAGGGGGGAGAGTGAGCTGTGGACGGATGGTTTCTGGGTTGATATGTAAGGACAGTAAAGGATTTGCTGAGATAAAAAAAAAAAAAGTGGAAGCCAGGAGAACCACGAGCGGGCGGTTTAATACCCCAGGCCAGGCTGATAGGCACAAGGAAAGGCTGCTATAGATTTGAGGTCATTTTCTGGGACATTAACAGGACACAGTGACTAACTAGAAATCAACGATGAAGGCGGGTTAACTTAACTAATGATTTTGCTTTCTTAACTCAGCGTTTACCTTCTCAGATCGCACTCACGGCCTGTTTTCTGAGGGCGGGGTGCAGGCAGGGAGCAATGCTTAGCGCCCAGCAGGTGTCCGCCTGGCCTCGTGCCAGGGAGGGGCAGGTGCCGCGCAGTTGGGCAGGGAAATGGAAAGGTCACACACGTATGGTTTCTTCTAATCTGGCTCCTCCTTGCTTAGACCACAAATTGACAGAAAGTACTGATCCCTTGAATGCTGAGTTAAGTCCTTCAGAAGGACTCATGCCTGTGAGTGACTTTATGGAGCGTTTTCCTCTGAGGAAGCTCTTTTTTCTACCACTACAACCATCTTTGATCTCCTTGGTTCTGCCCCTAAAACGTTACTTTCCAGGTGATTTCTTGAATCTTTTCTCTTCATATGGGTTTCTGTTTGTAATATTATTATTATTTATCTGAAGGTAAAGAGGTGGGAAATTATAACAAAATAAAAGTGTCCTGTGCGCACTGGCCCGCTGCTGCCCTGCGGGCTCCGGGATGGAGCCTGGCCTGCTGGGCGCCAGGAGCCAGGCTGCGTGCCCGCCAGGTCTGCCCGTGGTGCGGCCGTAGTGCCTGTTCCTCCGGCTGCGGTTCTCGGCTCTGGAAGGGTGGGCGGTGCCGCTCGCCTACCCGAGTGACCCTGAGGTTTCCCCCGCAGGTGGAGCGGCCCCCCTCTCCGTTCTCCTTGGTTCCACAGGCACCCCTGCCGCCCGTGCCACCGCGACTGGACCTGCTGCAGCAGCGCGCCAGCGCCCCCTCGGGGCCGGGCCTGGGAGCGGCGCCCAAGGTAACGCCCTGCTCCCGTCCACGCTGCTCCTGTCCCCCCTGTTCTCCTCTCTGCTGCTCCACTCCCCCCTGCTCTCCTCCCCCTGCTCTACTCCCCCCCAGCTCTCCTCCCTCTGATCTCCTCCCCCTGCTCTCCTCCCTCTGATCTCCTCCCCCTGCTCTCCTCCCCCTGCTCCACTCCCCCCTGCTCTCCTCCCCCTGCTCTACTCCCCCCCTGCTCTCCTCCCTCTGCTCTCCTCCCCCTGCTCTCTTCCCCCTGCTCTCCTCCCCGCTGCTCTCCTCTCCGCTGCTCTCCTCCCCCTGCTCTCCTCCCTCCTGCTCTCCTCCCTTCTGCTCTCCTCCCCCTGCTCTCCTCCCCCTGCTCTCCTCCCCCTGCTCTCCTCCCTGCTCTCCTTCCCCTGCTCTCCTCCCCCTGCTCTCCTCCCTCTGCTCTACTCCTCCCTGCTCTCCTCCCCCTGCTCTCCTCCCTCTGCTCTACTCCTCCCTGCTCTCCTTCCCCTGCTCTCCTCCCCCTGCTCTCCTCCCTCTGCTCTACTCCTCCCTGCTCTCCTCCCCCTGCTCTCCTCCCTCTGCTCTACTCCTCCCTGCTCTCCTCCCCCTGCTCTCCTCCCTCTAATCTACTCCTCCCTGCTCTCCTCCCCCTGCTCTCCTCCCTCTGCTCTACTCCTCCCTGCTCTCCTCCCCCTGCTCTACTCCCCCTGCTCTCCTCCCCCTGCTCTCCTCCCTCCTGCTCTGGCGGTGCAGCCAGGGCTCCCCTGACTGGCTTCCCTCCTGCTCCACAGGCTGTGGCCGGTGCCCTGCACAAGGACAAGCCACTTCCGGCGCCCCCCGCCCTCAGAGATCTCCCCCCGCCACCCCCTCCGGATCGGCCTCACTCCGGGGGAGCCGAGGCCCGGCCGCAGAGACGCCCCTTGCCCTGTACTCCCGGGGACAAACCGCCTCCGGTCCCCGCCAGCCGCCTGGGCGAGTCCTGGCTGCCTCGGCCAATCCCCAGAGTGCCCGTCGTCACCCCAAGCCTTGGGGAGCCCTGGACAGGACGGGAACTGACCAACCGGCACTCCCTGCCCTTTTCGCTGCCCTCCCAAACGGAGCCCAGAGCAGACGGGCCTCGGCCCGGGAGCGCCTTCAGTCTGGGCGCCGCCGCGGTGAGTCCTGGTTTTGAAATGGCTTAGCCTTTCAGAATGTCTGTGGCCTGGCCTGTGGCAATCGTAGAGCACCAGTCCCTGCACCGAAGGGTCAAGGGTTCGGTTTCTGGTCAAGGTCACATGATTGGGTTGCAAGTTGGTTCCCCAGCTACAGTGAGGCACATGTGGGAGGCAACCAATTTCTCCCTTCCTCCCGCCCTCCTTCCCTCCCTCCCTCCCTCTCCCTTTTTCCTCTCTTCTTCTAAAAATGGAAAAAATGTCCTTTGGTGAGGATTAATTAAAAAAAATACTTGTGGGTGGCATTTAAGGGTATGTGTTTATGATAGGATTCAAAGAAAATATAGTCCCTACCCTGAAGAAATAAAAAGCAGTCTGAATAAAAACATAGGTTTAGAGGAGAAATTATTTCCAGATAGAGCAGACGGCCAGGCAGTCGGGAAGAGTGACTTCTGAGTGTGAAGGACACCCCGAAGCGAGTCCGGCTCTGAGGAGGGCCGCGCTTCAGTGCACCGCAGAGCGGGCGGGGCGAGGGCAGAGATGTGCATCCAAGTGTGGGAGTTGGCTAGAAAGGGCGTTAGTGCCAGGTTAGAGGGCTTGGAGGCCACTCCCACAAGGATTTGGATGTATTTGGTAGGAAAGGTGGGCATTTGGAAGTTTTAACTGAGCGGAGTGACAGGACCCAAATGCCAGTTTAAAGAGATCCCGCCGCCCTGGCCTGCGGCTCACTCCGTGGAGCGTGTCCCACTCCCGGCTGGATGCCTGGCCGGGCACGAATGGGAGGGGGCAGATCAACGGCACGCGCGCTCTCTCTCTCTCTCTCTCTGTCTCTCTCTGTCTCTGTCTCTCTCTCTCTCTGTCTCAGTCTCTCTCTCTCTCTCTCTCTCTGTCTCTCTCTCTCTCTCTCTCTCTCACACACACACACACACAGTCTCCTCCTCTCTCCCTCTCCCTCCCCTCTAAAATAAATAAAACATCTTTTAATTATAAAGAGATGACTAATAATTGTAGGTAGAATGGATTGTTATATTCCTTCTTTTGTTGGTTCAGTATGCACTCAGCATAAACTCTTGCCCTTACAAAGTCTGTATTCTAGCGAGGGAAGACAACAGAAAAGAGTAGTGAACATGCAGGGTGGACAGGGAGCCAGGCACTTTGGGGAAAGAATCCCAGGGTGGGGGGAGCAGCAGAGCTGAGGGGGTGAGGATGCCAGGGTGGGGCGCGGGCTGGGTGCTGAGTGGGCGGGAAGGAGATGGCTGGCTGTGGGAAGGTGGGCAGCCAGAGCAGGCAGAGCCTTGAGAGGGTGAGAAACAAAGACCCAGTGAGTTTGAAAGCAGTCAGTGGGTGAGGACAGGACAGGAAACCATATACACTCACACACACACACACACACACACACACACACACATACGTACACACACACTCTCACACATACATACTCACAAACACATATGCACATGCACACACTCCTGTGCACACACACATGTGCGTTGCACACACTGCTCAGACACACACATGCACACACATTTGTGCATGTGTGTGCGCTCTTGAGATTTTGAACCTGGCTAGAAACATGTTGAATTTGAGACACTATTGAGGCAGGAATTGACCAGCAGGTGGTCAGAAGTCTAAGGGGAAATGGCAAGGGAGGGAGGCTGAGGAATGCTGGGGCCAGGAATGGCGGCCGGGGAGGGGGCAGGTTTAAGTGGCGTTTCAGGGAGAGATTAGGGTGGACCTTGTGGTGGCTACAGTATAGAAAAGTAGGTTTTTAAAGCTGGAAATGGTATTTGTGTAGACAGTTTTCACAAATATTTCTAGAATTAAGAAAAAATACAGCCCTAACTGGTTTGGCTCAGTGGATAGAGCCTCAGCCGGCAGACTGAAGGCTCCTGGGTCAAGGGCAGATGCCTGGGTTTCAGGCTCTGTCCCTGGTGCTGAGTGTGCAGGAGGCAGCCGATCAATGATTCTATCGCACCATTGATGTTTCTCTCTCCCTCTCCCTTCCTCTCTGAAATCAATAGAAGTATTTTTTTTTAATATTTTTTAAAAGAAAATACACACGTCCTTGGCTTGTTGTTTTTTTTATCTCTGTCTCCCTTATCTCCCTACATTTGAGCTTTTCCGAGCCTGGAACAGCTGTGCTTTTGTTAGATGTAATAACCTGAGAGCGACCTGGAGTGAGGTCTGTGTCTGTTACTGTTCTTGTTATTGTCAGTATGGTAATGGGAGGAGATGCTTAGCTGTATTAAGAAGGTCCTTTTTCAAAACTTTTCTTTCCAGAATATGAATAGCAGCCCATTAGCAGGTCCAGAGAGTGAGCACCCCAAAATCAAACCTTCCGCATCGGCCAATGCCATTTATTCCCTGGCTGCCAGGTGAGTCTACAGCGCTGCATTTCACACCGGGAAGCTGTCTTCCTGAAGGGTTTACCTACAGAAAGTGAGCTCAGAGGAAAGCAAACGGGTCTGCATCTGCACATGAAAACCGCCTGCTTACGTTCGGACTGTTTCTCCCGATATTCTCTGGCAAATGTTCAGAGATCAGTCCCGCGGGGTGAGGGCCATCAATTTTACTACAGCTTTTCAAAGAAACAATTTTGAATTTTGTTGATTTAAAAAAATAATAATTTTGAATTTTTATTTTTTTATTTTAATTCTTAATTCTTAGGTACCTGTTTTTTTGTGTGGGGGGTTTGTGTGTGTGTGTGTGTGGTAAAATACACGACATTAAATTTTTCATCTGACCTATTTACCAGTATACAGTTTACTTTTATTAATTAAAACTTCACATTGTGCAATGATTACCACCATCTTTATAATTCTTTTTATTTTGTTTAACTCTATACCTATTACCATAAATCCTCATTTCTCCCTCTGCCAGCCCCTGCAGCCACCATTATACTTTTGTCTTTGTGACTTTGATTATTCTAAATCCTCATGTAAGCGGAGTCACACAGAGACTGGCTTTTGTGACGGGCTTGTTTCACTCGGCAGATGGTCCTCCCGTTCCTCTCATTGTAGCCCCTGAAGGGCACTCCTTTCACAGGCCGAATGCTGTGCTATTGCGTGTCTGGGCGACAGTGTGCTGACCCCTCCTGCGGCAGTGGCCACTGGGGCTCTTCCTGTTTTAGCTGTTGCAAATGACGCTGCTGTGAATATGGGTGAGCAGCTGTTATCTCTCTAAACCCTACTTTCAGTTTCTTGGGTGTATACCCAGAAGTCAAATTGCTGGATCATATGGTAATTCTTTTTTTTTTTTTTTTGAGGCACCTTCATACTGTTTTTTACAGCAGCTGTACTATTTTATATCCTAAACCTTGGTGCACAAAGGTTCCAATTTCTCCAAATTTTTACCAACATTTGTTATTTTCTGTTTTTTGGTGTTTTTTAAAACTTTTATTTCTATTTATTTATTTATTTATTTATTTATATATTTTTTAAAATATATTTTATTGGTTTTTTTATAGAGAGGAAAAGAGAGAGACAGAGAGACATTGATCAGCTGCCTCTTGCACACCCCGTACTGGGGATGTGCCCGCAACCAAGTATATGCCCTTGACCGGAATCGAACCCAGGTACTTTTAGTTCGAAGACTCTCTATCCACTGAGCCAAACTGGTCTCGGCTACTTATTTATTTTTAAAATACATTTTTATTGATTTCAGAGAGGAAGGGAGAGGGAGAGAGAGACAAAAATATCAATGATGAAAGGGAATCACTGATTAGCTGCCTCCTGCATGTCCGCCATTGGGAATTAAGACTGCAACCCAGGCATGTGCCCTTAACCGGAATCAAATCTGGGACCCTTCAGTTCGATGCTCTATCTGCTGAGCCAAACCAGCTAAGGCTATTTTTATTTTTTTTTCAGCCATCTTAATGGGTGTGAGGCGGTATTCCCCGGTACTTTTGTTTTGCATTTCCCTGATGATTAGTGACCATAGTGAGCATCTTTGGTCATTAATGTGTCTTCTTTAAAGAAATTTCTATTGAAGGCCATTGCCCATTTTAAAACAAGTCTTTATTGTTAAGGGTACTACCCTCCTCCACCTGGTTCCTGCCTCGTGCCATGCATTACCTATGAACACCCTATTGTCAGTGTCCACAGGTAATGCATATCGATAATAATAAATATGTAATATGCTAATTGGCCGGACAGCTGAATGAACTTCCAGACATCCTTTCGGACAAAGCCACGTCTGCGAGGACGAATTTCGTGTGTCGGGCCTCTGGTGTGCATATAAAACTTTCGGTTAATCTCTCCCGCCTTTCCTTCTCTGTGAGATTCAACAGTTTGCTCATGTTTCCAAACTTCTGATTCTATTCTCTTCACCAGTTTATTTTGCATATTAGATTCCTTATTCGTTTATTTTGATTTATAGATTCCATTGTTGATAGATATGTACTTATTGCCATGTTATTGTTAATACTTTTCATTTTTTTCTTCTTCTCCCTCTTCTTAAAGCATACCCTTCAACAATCCATGTAATGCTGGTTTGGTGGTGGTGAACTTTTTTAGCTTTTTCTTGTTTGTGAAGCTCTTTATCTGACCTTCAATTCTGAATGATAGCTTTGCTGGGTAGAGTAATCTTGGTTGTAGGTCCTTGCTATTCATCACTTTGAATATTTCTTGCCACTCTCTTCTGCCCTGCAAAGTTTCTGTTGAGAAATCAGTTAACGGTCATATGGGTGATTCCTTGTAGGTAATTGTTTTTCTCTTGATGCTTTTAAGATTCTCTTTTTGTCTTTTACCCTTGGCATTTTAATTATTATATATCTTGGTGTGGGCCTCTTTGAGTTCTTGTGGGACTCTGTGCTTCCTGAACTTGTAAATCTATTTCTTTCACCAGTAGGGGACTTTTCTGTCATTATTTCTTCAGATAGGTTTTTCAATATCCTGCTCTCTCTCTCTTTTCCTTCTGGCACCCCCATAATGCAAATCTTGGTATGCTTGAAGTTGTCCCAGAGCTTCTTTACACTATCTTCATATTTTTGTATTATTTTTCTTTTTCTTTGCTGCTTGGGTGTTTTTTGCTTTCTCATATTCCATATAATTGATTTATTTCTCGGAATCCTCTCTTGTTGAATCCCTGTAAATTATTCTTTATTTCAGTAAATATATTCAGTTGGTCCATTTTCATATCTTTGACATTCTCACTAAGATCCTTGAAAGCTTCACTAAATCCTTTGAAGTTCTCTTTGAGTCAGCTGAAGCTCTCTTGAGTAACCTTATGACCATGGTTTTAAACTCTGTATCCAGTAGTCTGCTTGCTCCCATTTCTTTCATTTGTGACATGTTTCTTTATCTCTGCATTTTGGCTGCTCTCCTGTGTTTGTCTCTATGTGTCAGATAGAGTTGCTATATCTCCTGGAGTTGGTAGAGGGTTTTTGTGAAGTAGGTGTTCTGTAGGGCCCAGTGGCTCAGTCTCCACACTAATCTGAGCTGGGAGCTCCAGGTGCACCTCTTTGTGGGCTGTGAGCACAGTCTTGTAGTTGCAACTTGGTTGCTATTGGTGTCACTGGGAGAAATTGACCTCCAGGCCAATTGGCTCTGAGGATTGGCAGGGACTACAGTGGGAGAGCTGCTGTGCAGGAGACACCCCTGTGGAGCAGGACTTACTTCAGTGGGGCTTTGGTGCTCACTGAGTCTTTCCCTTGAGTGTGACACTTGTGGATGTGTAATCTGCAACGGTCTGAAAGCTGTCCACTGAGTGCACTGACTTGAGGTCTCCCGGGAGGTGTAAAGTCAGCCACTACCTGAGGCCACTGGGCAGGAGCTACAGAGAGATCTGCAGATAGCTGCTACTTGTATTGGGCTTGTGAAGTGCCTATGCGAGGCCAGGCTGTGAAGCAGGCAGGCTGGTGCCAGTGCTGGGTCTTGGCTTTTTATTGATTTGAGGCACACTGACTCCAGCTGCTGCTTATTTGAGGGATTTTAGCGAAGTCTGAAGCCTGAGTCAGGATAGTAAATTGATATGGAAAAGCTGCTGCAAACAACTCGGATGGGGCGGAGTCTCAGAGAATCACCAGGTGGAGAGAACAGTGTGATCCAGGCTGATGGAAACTCAGATATGGCTGCCAGTCAGCTCTGAGATGGGGGAGGTTCCAGCACAGGAACAGTGATCCCTGTGAGGACTCCTCATTTGGGAGAAATCTGCTGCTGAGTTCCAGTGACAGTGCCAGACAATCCAGTTTCTTCCTATATATCCCTGGGTCCACCTGACACTGGAGCTCAGAGGGATCATGTCTGAGTAAGTTTGTGTTCTGGCTCTTTAAGCAAAACTGCCTGAGTCTCCAGCAGCCTCCTTGTTACTCAGCCACAATCCCCACTGGTTTTTACAGCCCATAGTTAAGGGAATTTCTCTTCCCAGCTCTGGTACCCTGGGCTGGTGGTTTGGTGTCGGGCTGGGCCACATTGCTCCTCATGGGAGGCCTCTGCAGCTGAGATATCCCACCTGATTTTTTTTTTTTTTTTTTTAAAGGGCACACAGAGAGGATAAAAAATAGCGGCAGGGTAAGTGATCCCAAGAAAAACTGAAATTACAACTAAAATACAAAAAACTTTCTGAATAATGAATGGAAAACTCATAGGAGAGAACCCTGATACCTGAGGACCAAAACTGAAGATTGCATAGAGTCTGGTAGGAGGGGCAGAGGCACAAAAGGGCTAGCAGACAGCAACTGAAGTTCTGGAGAGATACCTCAACTGTGGGAGGTTGCAACTGAGAACTCAGATCTAATCCCCAAGTTGGGCTCCCCAGCAGAGAGGATCAAAACTGAGGAGGCATGACATCTGGTTGTGAAAAGCAGTGGGGTGCTGTCTGCCAGGGAGTGACAGCTGAAAATTCAGATACTCTCTTAAAGGGCAATGCACAAAATTCCCTTTGGAGCCACCCATCTTGTGCTCTGGCAGAGGGAGGGCACAATGGACTGGAGCTGTGTGAGCAGAAACCAGGACTGGGGACTCGGGGGGATAGAGGTCAGAAGGCAGACACCCCCAGTTTCCTGGGCTGAGTCATTCCCTCACACAGAGGAGGACAGACATTTGACTCACCCTGTTGGAAAACACCTTATCCTCAGTCACTTAGGAGACCAAAAATAGCCGAAAACAGTTTGGCTCAGTGGATAGAGCAACAGTCTGCGGATTGAAAGGTCCTAAGTTCAATTCTGGTCAAGGGCATGTACCTTGGTTGCAGGCACATCCCCAGTAGGGGGTGTGCAAGAGGCAGCTGATCAATGATTCTCTCTCATCAATGTTTTTAACTGTGTCCCTCCCTCTCTCTTCCTCTCTGAAAAAATCAGTGAAATATATTTTTAAAAAAAAAGAAAAGAAAAGAAGAAGAAAGAGAGAGAGAGAGAGAGAGAGAGAGAGAGAGAGAC